ACTTTCTCAATAAAAGTTTTTTTTTAAAAAAAGAATGTACCAAAATAAGGATAAATATCATAATACAATTCACCCCAAAATTACAACAAATAAACAGAATTAAACCTAACCATAAAAATCAGATATAAATGTGTCAGAAGAGAAATCTCAAAAGTTATTCAGCAAGCAAACAAAGACACTTTATATATGAAATTTCATATTTCACATTTAGGATGTAAAAGTGAACAATAAATAACAACAATTAAGCATATGATACAAAAATGAAGGATATGCAAGAGATGAGATAGATGCATACTCAGAAATTATAATGTACAGTAGAAGGCATATTAAGCTTGACAAAATAAGCAAGGATAATGTGGCAGACTTTGGATGTAGACATATAGTAAATATATCTCAATATATACAATTTTCTTGACTGTATATGAAATAGTAACACTGATATACCAAAAATGTGTCCATATATAGGGCAAAATGAAAGTAGCTAATATGGTGGATTGAATGAGAATTTCCTCCACAGGCTCCAAGTATTTGAAGACTTGGCCCCAGTTGGTGGTGCTGTTAGTGGAGGTTTAGGAGGTGCAGCCTTGCAGGAGCTGGAGGAGGCGCATCACTGGAGACAGGCTTTGAGAATTCTTAAGCCTTGCCCAAGTTCCAGTTTCTTTCTCTGCCTCCTGGGCCTGCGCAAAGATGTCAGTGCTCAGTTTTCTGCTCTGGCTGCCTCCTGCCATGCCTCCCTACCATAATGGACTCTTCTCTCTCTGGAACCATAAGCCAAATAAACCCTTCCTTCTATAATTTTCCTTAGTCATGGTTTTGTGTCACAGCAACAGAAAAGTTGATACCAGAGAATGAGCTATTGCAATAAAGAACCTGCCTGATTATGTGGGTGTTTGGGGGAATGTGGGAGACTTTGAAGTTTGAACTAGAAAAGCTGTTCAATGCTATAAGAAGAGTTTAATGGGCTGTTACAATAGTGGCCTGGAAATGGAAGCAACAATTTAAACAGCAACTGAGATATTTTGGCAGATAATCTAATGTAATGAACTAATTTCTTTGGAAGAGAACATTTCAAGACAGCCTAATACTGAATCCATGATATGGTTATTAATGGTGAATATTATGCAGCTCTAAAATGAAAAAGAGCAAACGGGGTGGAAAGAAATACAAAATGTACACTTTGAACCCAAAAAGAACATTAGAGAGCTTAATGACATGGCAGTCAAGGCATGTGCTGGAAAAGAGGCTCTCTTTGTTAAGATGAGAGCCATTGAAGAGTGGCCTCCAGATTTGCATTTGAATAATGGAAAGAGCACCCTCTGGGCAAGACCCCAGCCAGTTAAGGTTCCAACTTGTGAAAGGAGATAGCCTGAGGCATTTTCTGCTCCAAGACTCTTGTCTTCTTAGACATACAAAAAAGTGTTGATAACCTGGATGAAAGCACGTTAGGTTCATCCCTAGTGTGCCTCTGAACTTGGCAGTGTCATTCACATGGTTCTGACTTTAGAGTCATGAAAGATGCAAGATTGAGCGGGTCACTGGCTCTTCATCCCTGGTTTCCAAGCTCCACCAAGACCAGGCAGAATGCAGCAGGGGAATCTCTGTGTAAAGGAGACCCTGGGAGGCTGAGAGGCCCCAGGAGGAAGTGAATGTCAATAGCCAGACTGGCAATAGAGACTCCATGATACTGGAGATGACAGAGCCATGAGGCATCTGCCAAGGAGTACTGATACAGGGAGTGGTACCAGTCCAAGAGAGAGATGTATGTTGCATGAAGCAAAGCTGGAGGGGCTGAGCCATCTGAGCCTTTTGGAAAAGTAAAGTCCCAGATGCTGGACATGGAGCTACAGGATTTGTTGTCTGACCTGCTGGCTTTAGTCTTGTTTTGGTTCAGTCTTTTCCCCCCTTGCCTCCACTCCTCCCTTTTGGAATGGGGATGTATGTTCTGTGCCACTCTATGTTGGAAGTATGTAATTTGTCTTTTCATCTTACAGGGGCTTATAGTTACCCTGAGTCTCAGAAAAGACTTTGAACTTTCTAACAGCATTGGGACTGTGAAGAACCCTGGAGATTTTGAAGGTGAACTGAATCCATTTTGCATTATGATATGGTCTTGGGCCTATGGGGACCAGAGAATGGAATGTGGTGGTCTGAATGAGAATGTCCACCATAGGTTCTGAGGATTGGCTGGTGCTGTCTGTGAGGTTTAGGAGGTGTAGCCTGGCTGAAGGCGCATCACTGGGGATGGGCTTTGAGAGGTCTTTCCTTGCCAGAGTCCCCGTTTCTCTCTTTTCCTGTACCTGCTTGAAGATGCCAGTGCTGAGTCTTCTGCTCTGGCCACCTCCTGCCGTGCCTCCCTGCCATGATGGACTCTTATCCCTCTGGTACCAGAAGCCCAATAACCTCTTCTTTCTATAATTTGCCTTGGTCATTTTTTTTTTTTTTTATCACAGCAAGAAAAAAGTAGCTAATATAGAAACCATGAAATAAAACTATTACATCAAATCAGAAAAATCTTTCCATGGGGGAAACCAAAGATAGTCTATTAAACTTAACTCTTGGGCAAAGTAAAAAATAAAAAAAAACAATTTCATAGAATTAAAAAATGATAATAAACATATCACCTAAGCTGTAATCAGAGAAGCTTCATAGCCCCACATCAGTTTAAAATATGAATTGTCAAATGAAAGAGAACTTTCCAAGGAGGAAAGGAAGAGTAGCAAGTTAATGAGCAAAGACTTGAGCAACTCAGAGTGCTGTAACAAGTCATTGTCTAGCTTAAGAGGGAAAAGAAGCTACGAATACACAGAATAGGAAATGAGGGGCTGGGAGAAGGCTCAGTCCATGAAGTGTGTGCCTTGCAAGAATGAGAACCCGTATTTGATCCCTAGAAATTCCATAAAAGAGAGTGGGAGGTGGGTACTTGTAATTCTTGTGCTAGAAGATGGAGATAAGTGGATCCCCCCCAACACACACACACACACAGACACAGACACAGACACAGACACACACACACACACACTTGCTGGCTAATAAGCACAGTCAAATTGGTATGTGAGCTCTAGGCCAGTGAGAGACCCTGTCTCAAAAAATGAGGCAGACAGCTGTCCCCAAGAACAGCACATGAGGTTGACCTCTGGTCTCCACAAGTATAAATGAGGGATGCACACATGGGTACACACAAAAGAAATAAAGGGGAAATACTGATGTAAAGAAAGATTTTAAAACATTACACTGGCAATACACATTAAAAAAGTGACAGAGGTAAATTTTCAAGTACACAGACACACACACACACACACACACACACA